GCAGAAATGTTTTAATTCTTATCACTGCAAAATAAATCAGCAACATTTCTAAGCTAATGTAATAATGGCAGTCTGTATTACTGAACTACATCCGACCATATTTTATAACAGCGAACACGTAACAAATGTGTACGTTATTGTAAAATACAAATGTAATAGCCACTTTGCTACAATTTTTCAGGACTGATTCATTTCGTTAAAATAAAAAAAATACAAAGAACAAGAGCAACGTTTCTAACAGATTGCGACCCTTCAACTGTTATTAATAAACTGTAGGGATCTAGGAGGTTCTAACTGTCGAAGAACAATTGACATCACAACATCACAGAGAATCTCTGTTACTTCACAATACTCTCTATAAAAGTAAGAAAATACTAAGATTTTATTAACACTTTTTTCATTGAACAATATCATCTTTTTGGTTTAACGTTACTTTCATAACCAATTATTATTAAGCATTTAATTTATGATTCATCAATATTTTCAGGAAACCTACCATAACAGCAAAACTGTTAAAACAGATGTAGGGAATGCTAATACGAGGTCTGTTCAGAAAATAACCGAACCTTATTTCTTTAAACTTTATTATTAATTTTATACATTATTGGTCTTTGTCTCCTTCAAAGTACTTCCCTCCTCTATTCACGTACTTGTCCCAGCGGTGTTTCCATTTCGCGAAGCAGTTCTGAATAGCTTCATTTGAAAAACCTTTAAAGTCTGTGATAAATGCTTTCGTGAATAGTCGGAAAACGACATTGATTTTAATTTCGGAAATAGGAAACAAACACACGGAGTCAAGTCTGGCGAGTAAAGAGGGTGAGGGAGCACAGTAATTGGCACAACACTAACGAACTGACAAAGCTGAGTGTGCGGGCGCAGTGTCATGGTGCGAGAACCATGAGTTGTCTAGCCACAACTCTGGTCATGGAGATTTTTTCACACAACCGTTGTACACCTTCACTTTGAAGCAAGAATTCAAAATGCACTGAGGGTTGTTTGCAGTATGCAGCAAAATAAAATGTTCTCTCAACTGTAAAATAATGTCGGGACGAGCGTTCGCTGGAGAGTCTTGGAATGGAGTCGCTCGAACGTATATTTATCCGGTCCTGGCGCCAATCTGCCGTGGACCTTTCCTGGAACCCTGGTGCGTTCCGCGTCTGTTCTTTGTCCTCGCAACTGTCACACCGGTCCGGCGGCGGCTTCAGGCTGGCGCTCTTGACGTAATACTTAAAATGGGTCACTTGGGACTGATGTGCTTTCTTGGGTCATGGAGATCATTCGCCAATTCATTATGATGATTGCACTTGTACCTCAATATCGTAGCCGTAAATCCAGATTTCGTCTCCCGCTGCAATCCTTTGAGGACATGTTTCATCGTTATTAGAATGTTCATGGAATTACCGACAAACGTCCACCCGATTTTCTTTCTGTTGTTCGATCATCAAACGAGGAACAAATTTTACTACAACTCGATGTATGTTTTTCAGTCAAAATTTCATGGCATGACCCGATGAAGATGCTAACTCCTGTAATTTCTCTGACAGTCACTCGACGATTTGCACTTGATTTGAATTTCTGAACGTGGAATTCATCAGATGAAGTCGAGGGCCTTCCTGATCGAGGATCATCCTCAATTGACTGTGAGCATCATTTCCCCAATTTCACGCGATATTTTACATTTCATTGAAAATCGCACATTTCATAAATAGTAACTAACACTTAAACACGTTTCACTCAAATAAATGTGGTTATAGAGGAGATTGTGCGCAACGCAATGCTACCAACCGCATATAACTAAATATCTCCATTTCCAGCGCATAATTCAAAATGTTCGGTTACTTTCTGAACAGACCTCGTACATCTTCTACCTATGCTATTGACATTAATTACTTCCCTTAAAAAATTCATACCAAATACCCTAATTCGATACAATTTTATTAACTTTAAAAATCTTTAATTTAAAATTCTCAGAATAGTTGAATTTAGGTATGTATAAACTTTCTTAAAATACTAATATTATATCAGTGTCAAGATGTCGGGAAACAACAGCAGCTTCCTTGGATGGGTTTAAATCAAGTTACACCTTCGTTTCTGAACACCCTTTATATAACCAGCAGCATATTTACTTGTGTCTTAATCTAAATTTTCAGGAAAAGATAATATGTGGGACTTAAAACGAATAGTTTCCGATACATTGTACAAAACTCCTACAGATACACATTCTATGATAAGTCGTCATAATATTTTTTTTTTTTTCAAAATTACGGAATATAAAGCAAATGTGGGACGAGATTAGCCGTTGGCAAAAATTCTATTTTTACATAAATTTCGCATAAGCTAATGAGTCACAATTTACAATTAGTAAAGACATATCTAAATTATTAGAGCTATATTCAACCAAGCTTGGATTGCCAGTACAGATACGTTTAATTTTTCATTGTCAAAATGCCAACCTATGAAACATATTTTATATATTACACAATGAGATTGTCAAAGTAAGATACATAATTAACACAACAATTCTGGATAAGATTAACTAATTTTGAACTGTCTTTTATTTTTCTAAGTAAAATATTTAGAATCCAGAATTTCAATGTACTTGCATTTAAAATTTTTAAATCTATGTATAAAATCGAAAATATTTCAAGTCTAACATTCTAATCCCACTACCACTTTTGTCTTTATGATAAGGACTAAAATTTTGCAGGTATATTTATTTTAAAATTCATAAAACCGATTGCATTGCTTCTTCAATTGAGAAAAGATCAAAGAAAGACAATATATAATTACATAAAAAAAATTTTGTATTAAAATTTTGTTGTTTGTTTTATTTTAATAATTTACTGCAAATATTTCATCAGGTCTTTTGAAAATTTTCGTATAATTGATGAGCGTTATTAAATTAAACAAATGTACGTCATGTAAAGATATTTCATATAAATTCCATTTCCGTTTACCTTTTGACCACGAAAACTTCATGGTATAAATTATTTCTGCTACAAACGCTTGGGACTGATAAAATTTTATTATTCTGGTAACCTAAAATATATCTTATAAATTTGCTACATGTAGATACACCTATTGCCAACTCAAACCGATGTGATTCATGTTACATTTATAGCTACTTTTAAAATTTTTATAGTTGTTCTGAAGTTGTTTGCACTGAACAGATTGATCATTAAAAGATTAAATCCAACAATCTATCATATATGTGACTTTTTTTAAATACCTTAAAGATACAATATACATTCTTCCGGGCTGTTTAGCTGTTTTTATGACTCCACAAATTTAAAGATGTTTTAAAAATAGACAAAATTTGTTGTAGTACTCGATATTTGTTTTAAATGTGAAGATATATCAATTAAACTAATGTTAACATAACTTAACCTTAGTTTTATATAAAATTCATTGTTCTCTCTTTGCAGTTTTGTTTACTGACGATTTATATTTAAAATATCTAATGATTATTACAGAGATTTGTGAACCTATGGTTTTAATAGGATTGGATGTAATGTATACTAATTTTTTTAAAAAATTAAAAATTATTTTGCTTCAAATGAATGTGTATTTTCATACACAAATGATATGTAATTTTAACAAAAAGAAAAGTTGAAACTTTATAAACATATGAGATAATAGTGTTTAAAATTAAAATTAATTAGTATCAACAAACTGAGGATTACTAATTTAAAATAAATTAAAAAGAATACAAAAATGTAGTTTACAATAAATGCTCTTGAAAAAAATTATTTTCTTTCCACATTGTTAGATTGAATTTAACATTTCCAATAGGAAGTATTATAAAAAGTATTAAAATGATAACAGTTTTGTAATATTTTCCATTTTAAGTTTATGTTTTAATATTTTGTGTTACAAAGATAGTTTTGTTTGTAATGAAAAAATTTAACATCGTGGCGAATGCGCCATTGTTAAAACGAAATTGATTCTTACTTTGGTAGTAAAAATTTAATTTGTCATTTGACATTTTATTATTGCAGAAAAACGAAATGCAAACTCCTTTAAAAATAAACTTGCTAGTTATTCCAATAATAAGGGGCTGAGGTGAGAGACCTTCCATGGACCAAAATCCTGGCGTTCATTAGGGCGTCGGGTAGGTTCGAGGAGGGTCAGAGGCAGAGAGTGGTCAGGTGATGGGACGGCGGGGTAGGCAAAAAGGGCCCCCTTGTGGCCTAATTGTTAGGCTGAGGCCGCCCCTTTACTACTACTACTACTATTCCAATAAGATCAACAAAATATTTTGACATTTGAAATGTAGGTGTGTTTTAAATCCTCATCAGAATGAAACTATTAAAAAACATATTTTGTTTTCAGGTACATCTGCCAAAAAATAATTGATTATAACAGTTTTCTTGGCTTTACGTGAAATCTATTTTTTAATATCAGTAATGAGGTTCTGAGTTGTCAGTTAAGTGTCTTACTAAAATATTATTAATTGTGTATAAAGTAATAATGGATGAAACGAAAGACTGGTAATATGTATTGTATATACATATCGATATGCGAAATGTAAATATTAAAAAAAAATGTTTGAGCAACAACAAGTGGTCAGCGACCATAAATATATATGTCTTTTATACTGTTTCTAAAAATATATCCACCCACTTAAAAATTTTGCTCATTACATAACCTATACAGATCAATAACTGTATTGTGAAATGCAATCGATTAATACAAGTAAATAATCGACTACATTTGTATAATGGAAAGTTTCCATTATATACAGTTTGTCACTGTTTTGTCATCTCATCGCAAAATTTATTTAAGGCGGTTTGGATTTGTATAGTAAAAGTCTATAGCCTGGCCATGCGACAACATAGAAAATTGTTAAATTATGTAGACAATTTAGTTTACGTTCGTGTTCGACACACTATAAATTAAATGATTTCATTCGCCAATAATTTGCGGTTCAGCGCATCGGATCAATTCCGATCCAAAAACTGGCAAGATTTAAAATAACAGCTGCGAACTGTCAATCATACCTGCGACGACCATTCCTGGAAGAACTCCATGGCCCATAGCCTTTTGTGGCAACTTTATAGTCCAAAAACTCACACACAGAACACAATTTTTAACATGTAAGCACCCACTAAAATAATTCGCACAAAATTATTTTGCACCGAACTGACGGAATCGCGATCGGTCGACTAAGCCGTCGTCTCCTTATTTTGGGAGACGCATTTTAAGGTACATCGAGTGAGATTCACACATTCAGCGCTCTCTAGATATTGCTTTTGGATTTTCAGCAGCGCACCTGGTTTGTTAATTTAGTGTTCCTCACTCTTGTTTACATTTTGGCGGAGAAGTTGCGGCTTAATTGGACGCTATTAATGACTTGCATCCGACTATCGAGGCTGCTTTTTTTTGGTGTGGTTTATTATGCGGAAATTCATACGGTATTTTTAGAACGTCTACAGGGACCGTATGACCAGTGCTTCGTAGTATTCCATTGTACAGTGTGTCCCTCAAATTGACTGTCAAACATCTACAGGATGTCGAAATTGACAGAAGCAATTCAAATGAGGTAATTAATTCTAATTAATTCTGATTATTTACGAAAATATAGCCACTTTAAGATGATCTGTTGGCAATGATTTTTTAAAATATCTTCTAATCCAAATGTGATCAGAAAATAGATCTCGTGGAATGTACTCTTCCACCGTTATCTTTTTAAAAAAATTTCATATTTTTGTCTCTTGGAAAATTATATTTTGTCCATGTAGCACGAAAAATTAATAGAATATAGCCGACATAACAAATAAATTATAAAAAAAACAGTACTTAGGTATTAGGATGTTAATTAGGTATATCCGCAAATTTTATGGTCTGAAGTTTTGAGTAATTGTAAACTAAACGCCCTAAAATTTATAGTTTTTGAAATACAGGTTATTGAAATTTAAAAAAATGTTTACCTTTTTTTTCTAATAACGTATAATATTTTGTAAATTTTATAATTACCTGTATCTATGTACGTTGTTATGAAGAAAAAATATGTCTTTCATTTTATTCGAAAAACGAACTATTTTCGAACAACTTATAAATAACGAGTTTAAATTAAAATTATATTTGTAGCAAAAAAAAATCCAATGAACTTTTTTGAGAAACGGTTAATTCTGTTGTGTCATTTTACATTTTGTGGAGTGTTTAGTAATATTGAAGAAATTTTAAAAAAAGTTATGTCTTAAACGGTGATTTTTTTCGAATAAAATGAAAGATATCTTCTCTCTTGGTATAGTGATCAAATTTTCAAAATATCCTGTGGTGTCAATTTACATTCGAATGCAGTGAATTTTTAGCTTTAATTAGATAAGGCATTAGCCTAAGTTTCATCATTTTGCTTGAAACTTCTTCAGACAGATTGTAGAAAAAGTTACTTTTTTAATTTCCACACCGTGTATCTCACAAACTACTGATTTGTAGATCTATGTTTATATAACCCTTTTAACTTAAAATCACTCAAAGAAACGCCTTCTTAAAGTTTATCGATGTGCTTATTTAACATCCTGTATTGTACGCCACATTATTTAAAACATAATATCTATCACTGAATATAAATTAATTAATGTGTTACATCTTAAACAGTAAACAGTTATAGTTACTAACAGTCAGTATTAAAAGATTAAAAATATTTATTTCTGTGTATTTCAATATAACAGTTTTGTCTAACAGATTTTCCCTTCCAATAATTGTAACATAATGTGTACTTTTTAATTTTCTCGAAACTCTTGTCATCTAGCAAATACTTTTCGAATAATAATTATTTCAACTACCATCGTTCTTTTATGCTACAGGGTCTCAAGAGACAAAACCCATTTCTCTGTAAAAATATGAGTCTACAATAGCCAAAACCATGTACCGATTTTTATTGATATTTCAACTGGTTTAGATAATATTTAAAAAAAAACAACTTCAAAAGGTCATCTTTAAGCTACTATATCTTTGTAAAGAATCGGAATTAAGTATATCTTCATGAGCAGGCAGAATTTACGCTTAATTTATTTAAACATTTTATAATAATGTTGACCAATGAATATCCTGTATAAATTAAATGGTCGAATAAAGGGACTTCCTGTACATTAAGGTGAATGAAATATAAACCTAACTTTATATTATAGAAAAATAAGATAATAAGATAAATAAGATTCAGAAATGGTGGCAAAAATCTCCGAACAGAGGATGTCCTTGAAAGCATTCTCAAAAGATTCGGTGGACCTATTTACCTAAAATTACAGATCAATGAAAAATGTATTACTGATCGAACATTGGTAGCTCAAGAAATATCTCCATACTATTGACTTGTAGGCCTTCGCAACAGTGGTAAAGCTCTAGGGTGCACGATAAATAGATAGTGCACCCTAGAGCACTGCACAGTTCTAGCCCTGTTTGGAACAGAAAAACCTAAAGCTGGAATCTAAATGATGGAGCTATAGAGCGTAATTAGAAGGAAAGTTAAATGAAAAACTCTAAGATCATGGAGGACACCGAAGGATCGCAGTGAAATCATATAAATAGCATATTCACTCCATATATTTATAATGTTAATGTATTTCCAATAACTGGCAATAGTATGCAGATCAGTGTTAACAGTTCTCGAATATTAAAAAAATATGTATGTGCCTTTCTTTGAATAGATTTTAGACAGACTATTCTACGAAGCTGCGCTTGAAGTATCCTCCTTCTTTAGTAAGGAACAAGAATCTTTTTACAGGGGTTTTAAAGTAAATTGAGTCTACATCATCTATCTTTAATTGTGTCAAACCAACAAAACTATTGTAATTTCTCTGAATTTTGGAATTAAATCCGATATGCAATTATTGCACAAAGATCTTTAAGAGATAGTCAAAAACAAATATAAGATAAATATTTTGCTTCAACAAATGTTTTCTATTAATGAAAAATTTATATTCTCTTATACAAATATTTTCAGTTCAGTCCAGTATACTCAACAACATCCTCTTAGCTTTGAAAATAAATAAAACCATTCTTCTCAATAAAATCTTTTCATTGCATTAATGTTTGTTTGATAAATACATGTATGATGTAACATGAAAGATCAATGAATAAATGCATAAACAAATCTAGGAGTAATGAAGAACGCACATTAAAGAAACTAGTTTCTCGTAAAACACATTTCCAGATATTGTTTTCCCTTAATTCACACATCGATGAAATATCAGTTTTAGTATCAATAATGAAGTTGTCAGTGTTACAATTACAACCAATTAAAGTATTTAGCAAAATCATTTGTTTCTAACTTTTAATTATATAATTTAAAATAGAAGAAAATAGCTATATTATGAGAAAGACAAGATAAATACCTACACATATATTTTCGTATTTGTAGCTGAATCATAATTGACCGTCACTGAATAACTAAAGCATTGGAAACAGCTGTTCATTTACTTTCAACTAATTTAAAAGCAAGGTAAAAACGCTTATAATGCTTAAACATTTATTTTTGAACTTTGAAAATTATGAGACATCTCGCGTGTTCCTTTTTTTGTCATTGTCACAGTTTTATTTTCAAAAGCGTTATTAAAAGGGTAAAGATCCTTTATTCATAAAGTCATAAGCTAATTCTATAAAATTAAAGAATACTATGACATATGCCTGGACTAATACATTACGCAAAGAGTATTTCTTCTATAATCTGTTTCTTTAGACGACTAGGCATGAGAAATTTCTAGACACCATGTAGGTACAAACTGTCAATTAAAAACAATATAAAGGATTGCCCCAATACCAAAACTGTTTACGACTCCTCTAAATTTACTTAATTGCGATGTGTATTTTTAGATGATTCATAGTAAACTTGGGATTGGTAAGAAAATGCATAAATCCGAAGATTTATTACTGTGTGGGTTATAAACCAATAAATTTCGGAAAGCATATAGTTAACAAAATCACAAGACACACGTCATTCATGTCACATTGCAAGATATTCTCTTGTTAACTCAATATCAAATTTTTTATAATCTTTAGAACAGCATAATTACTATATTCTCTTATTCTCACTCTTTTTGATGCTAGGAATGAAAAATATTTTTTCTAATAAATGGCGAATGCGCCATTAGTAGAACGAAAAAAATCGTCTCCATTTGACGAATTTCTTAAATAAAATAAAAATTGTATAATTTTCCCCCCGTATTGTCCACCATAACTGCTACATATCCCTTATATAAAGAAGTCGTTAGATCCATTTATGCTGTGTTTTCTGCGATCTTGGTAAAGTGTTGTGTTAATCATGATAGCAAACTTTATAAACACTTATCTCATAAGAAGTTTTTTTATAAAATCTGAAGGCTTTAAAAATTAAATTTACATTCCGTAATATTTAAAATTTAAAACTATAAGCATTTTCTCAGTTTTTCTAAGAAAAAAATTAAGTTACAGTTACATGAAAAATATTCTAATTTACAGTTTTTATTACAGATAAGTCAAGTCCAGTTGATTAAGAAATCAGTCCCAGTGCAAATTGACTTTTAAATTTAATTTCTGTTATGTCTGATGTTATTCATAATACTTATGTTTATTATCTATCATTGCAGTAAAAAATAAATAAATTTTATTTAAAAAATTTAACCAAAAAAACTAATCTGAAAAAGCCGCCCCTCATTAAAACCAAAGCGAATAATATTTCAAAACAAAGACAAAAAATTTTATCAACCATAAGAGAAATGGAGTGGAATTTTTACTTGGTAATATAAAATTCGTAAAAATAAACATAAGTCAATATTATTGTATTAAGGTTAATTATTTTTTAGAGATCAAAGAAGCCTTATGAAGTACCTACTTATACGTATATTTCAATCATTAACCCCGAGTATACTAAAACAAAAGAGTTCAATAAACTGTAATAAACGTTATGTAGATATATATTTGAAACTTATTGAGAAAATCGCTATTAATAACTTTAATAGCTGGGATATTGAACTAAATTTAGTTCTTCAATATATAAAGATCATATAGGATTTGTATAACTTATAACGGCTACAAAAATAACTTCGGTAGAAGAGATGGTTATGATTTTATTTAAAATTAAACTGATCATATGAACGTAAATGAACGTAAAAGCACTAGCGGGTATTTGTCTCAGACGGCATAGCGGGTCTCACTTTTAAGGGTTTATCGCGTCGAAAATAGATGTGTTTGTAGAATCCCAGACGACATTGAATTCGAAAGAAA